AGCAGGAAACTCTCCGCACACTCACCGGAACTGGGCTAGGACTGGGTCTGGGGGCTCCCGGAACTCGGCAGAAAATCCTACTCCGGCAGAAAATCCTACTCCTCCTGTGTTTAATTGTTTGCCGTGTTCGATGGGTTCCTTCTGTTCTCATTGGTGGAGTTCTGATCATTTTGGTTCCTCTCTAGAACATCTTTTAGGAGCCTGTGTAGGGTTGGCTTTGTCATCATGAAATTCTTTAGTTGTTCTTTGTCATGGAAGTATTTCACTTCTCCATCAAACTTGAAAGAAAGTTTTGCAGGGTATAGTAGTCTGGGCTGGAACTTGTTTTCATAGAGGACTTGAAGTACTCTGCTCCATGCTCTTCTTGCCTTCATGGTTTGTGAAGAGAAATCTGCAGTTGTTCTGATGGGTCTTCCTTTAAATGTGATCTGTTTCTTTTCTCTAGTGGCTTTCAGTATATTGTTTTTGTGCTGGATTTCTGGGATCTTCACTATTATATGTCTTGGCATGTTTTTAATTGGGTTGAAGTTACTTGGAGTTCTGTATGCTTCAGTTTACTGAAGGTCAGATTGCTTCCTCATATTTTGGAAGTTTTCTGCTATTACTTCTGCCCATATTCTTTTTATATCATTTGTGTTGACTTTTTCTCATTGATGTCTATTAGTTTCATGCTGTTCTTCTTTGCATCGTCTTGCAGGTGATGTGTTATTTTTTCCTGCATCCTAGTTGTTTTCAGGAGATCTTTTCTCACCTTTTCACTAGGTGTGACAGCATCTTCAAGATCTGAAACTGTATCTTCACTTTCACTCAAATGGTTTTGCAAATTTGTGATTGAAAATTTGAATTCCTCTACTTTTCTTTGACTCTCCTTCATGCGATCTATCTCTTTACTGTATTGCTCATTCAAGGAATCCATCACTTTTCTATTCTATTCTATTCTATTTTTTATCATTGTCTTCTTGAGAAACAGTTATTAATTGTTTTACTTCAGAGAGTATTTCTGGTCTGATTTCCTCTATGTGTTTCTGCATTTGATTCTTTACTTCAGACACTATTAATTCAGAGATTTCTTTTTTATTTCAGAGATTAATTCTGACCTGGGTTCCTCTATACCTTTCTGCTGTTGTTTCTTTTCTTCTGACACTAGTAATTCAGAGACTTATTTTTTTTATTTCAGAGATTAATTCTCATCTGAGTTCCTCTATACCTTTCTGCTGTTGTTTTTTTCTGACGCTATTAATTCAGAGATTTCTTTTTTTATTTCAGAGATTAATTCTGATCTTAACTCCTCTATACCTTTCTGTTGTCGTTTCTTTACTTTCTATAGTATTAATTCAAACATTTCAGCTGAGCTACTGTCCTCTGCACTTGTTCTGGGTGGGCTCGAGGCCTGAGATTTCATTTGGCTCCTTCTCTGCACAACAGAGGGTGTCATTCATGAGGTGTGCCTGGGTTTGGTCCAGAGATTGCCCACGGGCTCACAGGAGCCGGAAGCTCTCCCACACACTCCCCAGTCCTGGTCTTGTGCTGGATCTGGGGGATCCCAAATGCGCAACAGAAGTTCTCACTCACTTGCCGGGCTTGGGGCAGGGCTTCAGAGGCCTCCCGAGGGTGTGGCAGAGGGTCTTGCTCATGTGGTGTGCCTGAGTTTGGTCCTATTTGTGTTTTGTAACAGCCATTCTCACTGTGGTGAGGTAGTATCTCATTGTGGTTTTAATTTGCATTTCCTTAAGGCTCAGTGATATTGAGCATTTTTCTTTATGCACTGTGGATGGGAAAATGAAATAGTAACACCTTTATAGAGACGGTTTGGAGGGCTGTCCATCGACTAATGCCTGGACTACTGTTGATCCAGCAATCCCACCGTTGGACATATACCCAAAGGAAATGGAAGTAACATGTCAAGAAGACACATGCACACCCATGTATTGGTGCATTATTGACAATAACTGAGGCACTGAAGGACCTAAATGCCCAGGAGCAGACACGTGGATAAAGAAAGTGTGGTGCATCCACACAATGGGACATTACTCAGCAATAAAAAGAATAAAATTCTGTCACCTGTGACCACGTGGGCAAAGCTAGAGGGCATCACATAGGTGAAATGAGGCAAGCATGGAGCAGAAGCACCATCTGACCTCACTCAGATGTGGAACTAAAATGTCGATCTCATAGTTGAGAGCAGAAGAGTGGCTCCCAGAGGTTGGGCACAGAGGAAGAAGGGAGAGGGAGCAGTCGTCAATGAGTACAGTGTGATAGGGTATTATGGTTTGTGTTGAGATATCCCCCAAAGCCTCATGCTGTTATAGTGCTGTTTCAGAGGTGGATGAATCTGGAGTGCGTGCTGCTGGGATTAAGGGCATGTGATTAATAAATCAGTCCACTGTTGGTTTGGCATAGTTCTGGCTGGGATTCAAGCAGGTAACCTGCTTACAGTAGAGAGGACAGAAAGTCTTGTCTCCACCCCTCTTGTTGCTTTGCTGTCTTCCACCACCATGAGCAGTTGTCCCTCTGCCATGTGCCATCCTGTCTTGGAGCAGCCAATTACAGACTGAAACCTCCACAAACTGTGAGCTAATAAGCCTTTTTCCCCTTTAATTTTGGGTATCAAGGTATTTTGTCTCAACAATGAGAGAAAAAGAACTAAGACATAGGAGCACTAAGTTCTAGTGTCCTAGGGTGACTGCATAACAGCAATTCATCATGTATCTCAAAACACAAGGAAATTTGAGTGTATTCATCAGATAGTGCAGAGAGTAGGGCTGCTGCTGGAACAGGATCTTGGAAAAACGAAGGAGTTGGTCTTTGGCGGGAGCTGATTCATTGGGTTAGGAGAGACAGCAGACTTCTTGGCAGAGGAATATATAGGTTGGTAGATTTGGGGGTAGGGAAGTGTTAACATTTCCTTTTCCTTTTTTAACTGAAATAAATCAGGTTAGCTGAAAATGCTGTAGAGACTTAAGAGGGTTGGAGGAAAGAACAAGAGCTAGTCATATTGAAGAGTAGATGGATGAAGTATCAGAAATGTTTTGGGGCATGGTTCAGTACTCAGTATACCACAGCATAAGAGCTTTTTCTATCCACACTCATTTATTTTGGTGAAGGTGAGGGGTAGATGAAGAGCTGAAGGGCTGGCCAGATAGCTCAGCAGACTAAAGCACCTGCTTAGGCAGGTGCAGGGACCTGGGTTTGATCCTCGGCATACCGTGCCAGCCCTGCCCCCGGGGCGCACTGAGAGGGTGATTGAGACTGGGTATAGTGGTAGGCGCATGTAATCCCAGCATTTGGGGTTTTTTTCCCCATAATTTTATTGAGAAACAAATAGCAATGAGGCAGTTTCAAATCAAATTGGTAGGACAGTTTCAGTAATTAACACATTGCATACTGTCTTCCTAGTGATTATTTGCTGTACAAGATGCAGACATGATATCCTATTTACAAACACCATTAGAACAAATCCCTCTATTAATTAAGAGAATGTAACTATATATCTGTCCTAACCACTTTGAATACACAGATACAAAATGGACATTCATCTGTATCCCTTTTTTGTTTAGTTCCATCATTTGAATATTATAGGTGTGTTAACTCAGCAAAATATTCTAAAAGAGTCCAGTAGTCCATAATAGTATTGGGTCTTCCGCTTGACTGGCAATCCCAGTATTTGGGAGGCTGAAAACAGGATCACTACAAGTCTGATCTGTGTAGTGAGACCCTGTAAACCCTGTACTAAATACATTAAAATAAAATAACTGGAAGTTTCCAGATTTGCAATTTTCCCTAGCAGATGTGGCAGAGGGAAAGAACAAATGGGAATGATTATAGTGGTCACAGAATCTTAGCTTGCTGGGGATAAATGGGACGGACAGCACATAGTGAAAATGCGAACGGAGTGGACTGGAGGTCTTTGGACAGAATAATAGTTGCAGAGGTGGGGTACTTGCATGGGTACATTGCAAAGATAGGAGTGGCAGTCACAGAGTGGAGACAGTAGAGCTGTGTGAGGTATAACCGGTTTAATCACAGATGGAGGAAGTGGGCACAATCACTTGAGGTGAGGAGATGGGGAAATGACCAATATTAGCATGTAGGATAAAATGTGTCTCTTTTCCTCCTCCTCCTCCTCTCCTCCTCCTCCTCCTTCTTCTTCCTCCCCATCCCCCTCCCTCCCCCTCTGCCACTTCCCAGCATGAGCTCATGGGACAAAAAATAACACACTTTCTACCTGATGAAGAGAAAAATGAAGTCTACGATAAGATTAAAATAAGAGCTCCTTTGTCAGAATCAGGTACAGATTTTTTTTCAAATATTAAATTATTAGGCTTGAAGAGACAAGGAATACTCAGTGGAGTAGTTCCCCCCCCACCAGGTACCTGGGATTGAACTCGGGACCTTGTGCTTGCTAGGCAAGCACTTATTCTACTGAGCTATCTACCTGGGCCCTGGAGTAGTTTTTAAAAGAGCATTGTAGTCACTAGCTTTTGATCATATGTGAATTTAATTTTATATATCACATAGCCAGTTGTGGTGCTACACACTTGACATCCCAGCCCTAGAGAGGCTGAGGCAATGAGGATCACCATGAGTTCATGGCCAACCTGGACTACATAGTGAGTTCAAGGCCAGCCTGCACTGCATAGTGAGTCAGTGTCTCTAAAAACAAATTTTCATATATCGCAAATTATGCCTCAAGTGTTTTAAAAGTCTTTTCCGCTAATCTTATTCTTTACCATGTACCCTTGTTATCGTAGTGTTTATATCACTGCATTAGTGTTACAAAACAGATGACTCTGTGATGTTCTAGCTCGTTCCTTACTCTACAGACTCAACACACATACAGTAGCCGTGTGTGCTAATGTTCAGAGAAAGAACGTGATGCTCTGTAAACTTCAGTCCAGGTAACACATTAGTCCTATGAAAGGATCCTATAAAATATATGCCAGTGTAGGTCTAACTTGCTTGGCTTCTGTTTTCTTTTTAGTGGGAGTCCACATTGATTTTTGCTGCCACTTCAGAAGAGGAAATGTTAAAGAAGGAATTAATCCTATTTATGAGCATGTGAAATTCATCCTGACGCTCCGAGATATTTGCAGTAGTAAGGGATTGAATTCATCATCTCCAAATAACGTTCAGAATCTATGTAGCCTGCCATTGCTGGCACAAATGTTACCTGACTCTTGGTCATCACTAGTTTGTGGTTACTCATATTACACGTTAACAAATTACTAGTGAAATTTACAGGGTGGGGGGTGTCCAGAAACACGTGGGAATAAATGATGAAGGACGATTCTCACCTTTCAGAATATGAGGAAGTAATTGTTGAATTTTTTTCATGTTAATTTTATTTATTTACTTATTTATTTTTTATGCGCAGAATATATTTATTGAGAGAAAGAAAGCTCCTGTCCAAGAGAGGGACAGGAGGGGGGCCCGAGCGGATAGTTCCCCCAGTTGTTGAATTTTAATATGAGAAGTTGAATGCATAATCAAACTCAAGTGAGAGAGAATACTATGTGTACCAGAAGTTGATAGACGAAGTAGGAGCTCAGGGATAACAAAGAAGTGCATTCCCTGGACACTTACGTGGCTTTTTCATCATATATAGACTCCCTTCATTGGAATCTGGAGTGCCTGCCCCCTCTCAAGGACCAATACAGAAAACTTAGAGGCCACTTTTCACAGTTCTGTCCACTGGCCTGGAGGAAGAGTAAATTTCTCACCTCTCCAAAAATTTGGGAGCTGGGGAGATGGCTCAGTAGAATAAGCACTTGCCTGGCAAGTGCAAGGGCCTGAGTTCAATCGCCGGTTCCACAAAAAATAAATAAACAAATAAATAAATAAAAAATAAATGGACAGAGAAATGCATCACTTATAGTAAATCAGAATTCAAGCTTGTGTCATGTATAGATAGATACCAGGTTGAGGACTGTAAGCTGAGAAAGTTACAGATTAATTAAAATTAACAAGTGTGTGGGGCCACGAAATGGCCGTGGCTTGAATCAGAAACAAATGAATCAGGTAGCTTACAAGTACATGAAAAGAGGCTCCAACTCACCAAGAAGCAAAGAAGAAAAATTTAAAAACTAACCAGGTGGCATTACATTCAGTGAGATATGCCCACTAGAATAGCCCAGATTCAAAGCGTGAACATACTGGGTATTGACGAGCATAGAAGAAGCAAATGAGTAAGTAAAGAGGGAAATCAGTCCACACAGACTTTGGTTAATATATTTCTCATGCTTCTTGAAAATTAAATGTCAGACACCTTTTTAAAAAACCCTACACACAAACATACACATGCATGCACACACACACGCACTTTGTTCATAGCCATGTGGTCTATGTAAAACAAAGGCTTGAGATTTCTTTTGGACACTAACCTGTCCATCCACGAGGTAGTAACAAACCACTGAAACCAACGTGAATGCAGAGCTGATACCCAGTAATGACTTTCGCGTGTTCTGGTGGAGTCCAGCGGGAGAGGCTGGCTGCAAAGGAAACATGGCAGGGAAAATGTTAGGGCTCATAAGTTGAAAACTGTCAGTGGGCTGGTGGACAAGTACTGTACAGTCTCTAAGGCTGTGCAAGCGTCTTAAAGAAAAACCTGGTACCTGTCATGTAGATTATCACATATGTGCCCATTTCCTTTAGGGTCTTTTCTGTTTTTTGGTGGCTTCGTTCCCAACTGCCTGTGCATCGAGCCAGTTGCCTTGAAATTTCCCATGGAAGAACGTTTTTATCTAGTGGGATGTGTTTGTCTCATCAATACTGCGATCCTCAAGGTGAGTACTCAGTGTGAGCCTCGCGCCTCAGCACTGCAGGTCTCAGGGCCTCCGTAACAAGGCACGTCCTCTTCCGCCTCTCAGTACTAGGCAGCACTGCTGAAGCACCAGGGTGTGTAAGTACAGGAGCAGGAAAGGAGAGCTACCCTGGGGTTTGCAGCCTTAGCTTTAACACATGAACATGCTAGTAGGCATCCCGGTTTAGGGCTCACCCCCAGTACCTGCCTCCTCCATCTTACATGTCACCTGTATTTGTTCTCTGCCCCAGTTTCTCTCTGGGTTTTGGGGACATCTATAGTGTATGAGTGTGGTGTTTGAAGAACAGGTCTCGTGGAAACAGAGGTCCTATGAAGAGAAGATTACAATAGTGTGACTTCACAGGAAAAAATACAGTGAACCAGAGTTGAGACTGCAAACTTCTGCTCCTGGAACCAGTAGCTCTGTGTCCCGAGCCAAATCATCACGTCTCGATTATACTAAGTTTTCCTGCCTGTTAAATCTAGTCTTTGTCACAGATATATCTGACTGGTTGTGATATCAGCTATGAGGAGACTTCCAAAACGAATACATGCTATAAATGTCAGGAACTTTTCCTGTAGAAATACATTTAAGCGTCTGAACATGCCACTTTGTCTGCAGGACCTCTACACTGCAAAGCGTTACCATGAGACTTTGATTAAAGATTCAGATGAGGATCCTTTGATGATCCGGAGGTAAGAGACAGCATTGGTGTGAGTAATCGAAAACTAGCATACATCTTTGCTAAATAAAACTAAAGAAAGGGGAAGAATATCTAGATATTTTCCTCATCATAATGAAGAGAAACCACATGCGCGACCTGCTAGCCAGATGGCACTTTCCAATTTAATGTAATTCGTATTGTTCCAGTAGGATGTAAGTGCGAGTGATTTGACTTTTTTTTTAAAAAAAGCAGAAAAACAGTAAACAGCAAATTTAACTGACATAAACATTAACGACTTTCAAATCAAGATAGTTCATTTAAAATAATGCTAACTACTTTTTCTTGAACGTAAAGGTAATATGTAAAGAATAGAAGCCAATAGTTCATTATTTCAAGTAAGAAAAATAAACACGCATTCCTAATCTATAGGGAAATGCTGACCAACCGCCAAGTATCATTAAGCCCCCATTATATACCTGTTTAACAGACTACCAAGGGCCTCTGAAACATAAATTCTTTTTTTTTTTTTTTTTTTTTTTTTGCGGAACCAGGGATTGAACTCAGGCCCTTGCACTTGCCAGGGAAGTGCTTATTCTACTGAGCCATCTCCCCGGCCCCCATAGAAATTCTTCACAACACTATTCAGATATTTATCACTTGCTAGACTTACTAGTAGTCTATATGTGGTAAGCAGTGGTAGTAATTGGGAATATGGGAAGTGGGTCATATTTTCCCCATTTTTAATGTATATACTCTTGCAGGTAAATAATGCTATGAAACATTAAGCATGTGTACTCTGTGCCAGTAATACTTAGCAGAATAAAGTAGGCAAATATCAGGACTTGGAGAGATAGTTCTTACTATGCTTGCATGGGGTCTGCAGGTGAGAGGATGTGGTTGCTGTTATTATTTGGGAGCGAGAGGAGCTAAGGAGCCAGAGTTGATGAAGGAATAAATGTGATAGGAAATAGCTGAGGCTCATCCATGCCCAGGGCTGACGGATTGGGACAGTCTCCCCGTTCTTGTGGGAGAGCTCCCAGGTGCTTGGCTGTGAACGAGGGTCTGTGGCTACACACAGAGCAGCGGCAGGATGGGCAGAACTCATGGCAGCTGGCTGCATGCACCCACTTTGCTGGCTTCAAAGCCACTGCAACACAAGGGTGTGCTTGGAACTGTGGAACATGACGTGTCTGCTCATGCCACACCATCACCTTTCATGTGTACCAATGTGCTTCCCCCACCCTGTTTTTAAGGATCTAAAATTTCTTGTACAGTTTTTCAGCATTTTATTGGTGGGTTCAAATCCCTTTTTAAATTTTAATTTGTATAAGTCTGTGTTTGTAGTACATACTGATCACACTCCTCATCAGTGCTGGTGTGTGTGCAGAACACATGTGCATTCTCTTTGTTTCCCTTCTTGTCCTTTCCCTCTGTCTCTTGGTCCTCTTCCTATTTACCAAAGTTCTGTCTCTGTTTCCTATTTACATAGCTTTTATTTTGCTCTTTGTTTATACTCTGGCTTTCTCATATGGAAGAAATCATGTGCTATTTAAGCTTCCATGTCGATTTATGTCAGCGTGATGGGTTCGAGTTGATCTATTTTCCTACACATGACTCAAGTTTCCCCTTCTTTATGGAAGAATGGTTCTGGGTGTAAGTCCCACATTTTCTTTTCCATTCATCTGTAGATGGACATTTAGACTTAAGAGCCAAGCCTTAAGATTTATAGCCATTCAAGTCTCTCAATATTCTTCATCATAGAGCTGGCTAGATAGCTCAGTGGATTGAAGTGCCTGCTTAGGCAAATGCAGGGACCAGGGTTTGATCCCCAGCTTGCCATGCCAGCCCCTGTAGACCCCGTACTAAATACATAAAAGAAATACTCTTCACCACCTCCAGCTTAGAACATGGACTTTTGTAGGCTTCCTAGGTTTGTCCATTTCCTCCAGGAAGTCTTTTTTTTTTTTTTTTTTTTTTTTTTTTTTTTTGCGGAACTGAGGATTGAACTCAGGCCTTTATGCTTGCCAGGAAAGCACTTATTCTCCTGAGCCATTTCTCGGCCCCTCCCAGAAGTCTTTTACTAAATTACAAGCCCTTTTGTTGACTTGTGCAGGGAAGAAGATAGCTCACAGTTTTGGTAACTGAACCGAGGACACTGTTTGTCTATTGAGCCTGTCACTGAGATACAAGAACCACGCACCAACATCCATCCCCTTGCTTAGGCCTACAGAACTTAAGCATCTTTGTGCGAAATCAAAAGTACATTTACTTACTGCGTTTGAGTAATGACCTGCATGTAAAAAGATTGGCATAGCGCTGTAGGTAGTATTCACGTAATGAGAGTTCATAGAGCAGAGACTAGCATTTTTAGAATTTAATTGAAAGAAAAAATATTCTGCTGCAGAAGGAAGTCAGATGCAATGTCTGTGACATTGATTTTCATGAACTATATATGAAAGATAATTTCTTTTTTTATGTTTTTGGTACACGATCTCACTACACAGCTCGGAATCGTAGTGATCCTCCTGTTTACAGCTTCCCCAGTGCTAGGATTGATTGTAGGTATGCGCCACCATTCTCAGACTCAGTGCCTCACTCAGTGCCTGGGGGTGGGACCAGCGCAGCATGTGGTGTCAGAGATTGAACCCCGGTTCCTGTGCTTGCCTAAGCAGATGCTTAGTCTGCTGAGCTATCTCACTGTCCTGAATGACATTTTCTGAAGGCTTGAAATTATATTTTTTCTAACCTCATTCCTCTAGTCCTAGTTACTTGGGAAAATAATTAGCACACAATAAGGCGGAGGATAAGGACATCAGATCTATATGTTCTATAAAATATGCAAAGGCAAATAATTAGGAAATTCTTTTAAATATGCATTAATTTATTTTAAAATTATGCTATATTTAAAAATGATTCAAATATGGTATGTATATATACCAGTTCCCCAAAATGACTTATTATGTATTGCAAACATACCACCAAATTTTGTAAAACAGTGCTAAATCCTTATGGCTCTATAAAGACATTATTAAGTATAAAAGCTTACTTGTGAACTCAAAGAGATCATTGTAATCTGTCTCTTGTAACTATGACATTCCTTTTATTTTTCCATTAATTTAAAGTACTTTTTCTGCCTAAAGCAGCACTAAACCTCTACACTTCGGAGGTGGGATCGTATCAGTTAGTGCCTTAGTCAGTGGAAGCGAACCTGTGCTATGCCAACAGCATTCGGAGGATTATATCATTGAAAGCTCTTTTCAGAGTTCACCATCACGGACCTAAGTTAGTTCAGGAAGGGTATCCATACTCTGGCTGAATGTGACCCCCACACTGGGAGTCTCGTCCTGTGGGGCCTGGGCTGCACCCTTCCCCGGCAAGGGGATGTGCATTCACAGACTTGTGCTTGGTGGTGACAGAAAAGGAAGTGGAGCCAGCTTCTCAGTTTCTGTTTAATTGGTCAAATTAGTATGTGCCAGGACTGACCCTTCAAAAAGGCAGACTTAAAAGACATAGGTAGAGTCCGGGGAGATGGCTCAGTAGAATAAGCACTTGCCTGGCAAGTGCAAGGGCCTGGGTTCAATCCCTGCTTCTGCCAAAAAAAGGAAAAAAAGATATAGGTAGAAGAAGGGAGACCAGGCTCAGGGTCCTCGGTTTTATATTTTATTTATTTTTAATATCTTATATACTTATTTGGTATAGGCTCTCACTATGCAGCTCAGACTCATAGTGATCCTCCTGGGATTGCAGGTGTGCGCCACCATGCCTGGTCTTGGTGGTCAGCAAGGCACTCCTGGCATTGTGGGGCCAGCAGGGCACGTGGTACCAGGGATGGAACCCAGGTTCTTACTCTTGCCAGGTGGGCACTTAGACCACTGAGCTATCTCCCTGGGCCTCTGTGTTTTACACTTGATTGTGTTTATAGGCTTCCTAGCTAATCCATATTCCATCTTTAGTTACCTGATAAATTGTCTTGATCATATAAAAGCATAAAATCATCAGACTATTAGAGTGAAGATTGATAATAGCAAACAATTTATTGATACTTTCTGGAAAGCTTTCTGTAAGGGTTTATACTCAAAACTCATTGAAGCAACACTGAAATCACTGAGTAGTCAACATACTAATGAAAATAATAAGGCTAGAAAGGTCTAGGACAAAGTACTAGAAGTAATAGCTAGCTTATTTTATAAAAGATAATTTTGAATAAATATCCTATTCAGACAAGTAAAATTGATTTTTTTTCCTAACCATGTTCATGTATTACCTTGTAATCAAGATACCAGCCTTTCATATTAGTCATGTAAAGCAGAACAAGATCTAACTAGCTTATTTTTGGACTTAATGGTACTTGTATTGCCTTTTTTATCTTTCCTTATTTTACTTTAGCTTTATTATTTTTATTTTGTTTTCTAAATCTTCATTTGAATTTGGCAAGAATTGCCATATTTCTCTTCCTTACTCATACTCGTAATTGGTTACATTTGGCTAACTTTTGCTTTCTTTTCCTGAGTTTTCTCTTTTCCCTTTCTCCTCTCTTCCTGCCTTATTTTCTCTCTCCCTGCCCATCCCCCCGCTCTGTGTGTGTGTGTGTGTGTGTGTGTGTGTGTGTGCGTGCAGTTTATTATGGGCCATGTAGATATCATATCTCTTGTCTAAAATATTTCTGTGCCTTATTACTGAACAAGAGTATTCTATTTTATAATAACAATGTGATTATAAAGTCAAGAGGGGCCAGGAAGATAGCTCAGTTGAATAAGTGCTTGCCTGGCAAGTGCAAGGGCCTGAGTTCAATCCCCAGTTCCACAAATAAATAAATAAATAAATAAAGTCAGGAATTGTAGCATGTATAGAGTTTTATTATTTAATCCAGACTCCATGATCAAATTGTGTCATGTGGACCACTAATGGCCTTCATTGCTATTTTCTTCTTGGTACAGGGTTCAGGTCAGTTTTCCAGACTTCTTTTGACATTGTTGACTTTGGTAGTTACAGAGTACCAATTACATATTTTGTAAAGTGTCCTTCTGCTTG